TCATGATTGTTTAACCACAACCAGATGAAGCAACTTCTCAATTATTCATTTATTAAATTCAACACTGTTGAGGGTAAGAAGGAATATGGCACACTAACCATACTGAAATAATTCAGAATTCACTCTGAATCACACTGAACATCAAACACAAAGAGTGAATTAAACCATTTGTGTATCTGACATACATGATATGATTAATATGAATTATGAAAATTTATTCTAAGTTGCCATGTAACAAAAGGCAATTTAAAGTTATTTTTGCACATCAATTACGCAAATACCTGAGCTCTCAGAGTTGGAAATTTCCACATGTCACTGATAAAGTTCTTTGTCTAATGAAAGAAAACTCATGAGTTATGAAATTAAAAGTGTATTTCTGAGAGCACTACATGAAATGTTACACAAACCGAAGCCAATGTATAAACAAGTACCCTAAATTTATCAGCACAAAACTTATAGCTACCTTTATTTTCACATGGAGAATTCTCTCAGGGGCTGGTGTTGTGGTGTGGTGGGTTAGATCACTACTTGGGACACCTGGATCCCATATCGGTTTGCTCGGCTAGAGTCCTGGCTACTTTGTGCTTCAAATTCAGCTTCCTGTTTATGTGTCTGGGAGGCAGTGGAAGATGGTCCAAGCACTTGGGTCCCTGTCACACTCACGGGAGATCTGGATGGAGCTCCTGGCTCCTAGCTTTGGCCTGGCCTTCCCTGGCTGTTGTGGACATTTGGGGAGTGAATCAGTAGATGAACATCTCTTTCCCTGTCTCCCTGTCACTCTTGCCTTTCAAATAAAATAAATAAATCTTTAAAACAAACAACAAAAACCTCTCAAATGGTAAGATATTCACAACATAAGGTATAGTGAAGCTCTTACTATTTTCCTTGACATAAAGAAGTCACCTTACGTAGATATTTGAAGGATATTTTAAAGTAAAAATAGAAGCTTCTTTTGTTATTAAGTTTTAAAAACCCATTACATTTGCTAAATGGCCAGTTGAGATGTAACACACTGGAGATGTTTTTAGGAAATTATAAAATATAATCATGTTAAGTAAAAAACTGCCAAATGTATCTTTCTCATTTCTCTGAGTTAACTTGCTTTTAAAAGAAATATGAGCCATAATAAAATTGAAAAGAAGTTATGAAAAGGAAATGTGGAATTAAAAATCGTTAATCTGGGCAATCTATTTGAAAAAAGTATTGCTAATGAGAGCCTGGATGTTATATATTTTAATCACAGAAATGAAACGTCAACCTTCCTGCAGCAAGGACGACTATTTGTGATGGCAGTCGTCCTTATTTTCAGATTGCTGAGGGTCTTTCCTGATGGTAGTTCTCAGCAATGGCTGAGAGGCAGTAGGTGAGAAGTGGGAGCGAGGAGTGACAGGAGAATATGACACACACAGAGACCAAAAGTAACGTTCCGGAGAGTTGGCCAGCACGGGAGAACAACCGGTATTTCCTCCCTCTGGCATTACAATAAAGCAAGAAAAGGTCAATAAGCAGCGTTCCTGCTGTTTAGTAATCTGCACGCAGCACACCTTGTGGGGTGAGAAAACTGGGGCTTTCCAAGGCTTACAGAAGATGGTAGCTAACAGTGGCACTGGCACAAAAGCCAGGCCAAGGATTCCTTCCGCTTCCTGCCAAGTTTGGGAGCAGAGCTTTTAAAGGACCTGTAATCACCTTGACCCACATTCATCAGAGACACTGAATATCAAATCAGAAGCCTCACACAGGGCTTCTGCAGACTGGCCAATCCCCGATCCTTAGCAGACATTGCACTGGGTGGCTGTCCCCGTAATGTCCTGTCACTCAACATAGGTCCCCAGAACAAAAGTTTCTTTCTTTGTTGCCTCCCCAGCAGCCTCAGTTTGTGCTTGGCCGTGACCTTGCTGTGTGTGTGATCGTTTGGTCACCTCGTGATGCGTTCCCCTCCCTGCAGTGGTCCCTCGACCCATGTGAAGGCCACCACACTGGCTGGTGCTACGGGGGTGATGCCGAGGGGACCCAGCAGAGACTTCTACCTCTCTGAGCCAGTCTGAACTAGAATCCTTTGTTCTGTGTCTCCACAGCAGCCAGCACACTTGCTCGGAGAGAGACTGGACATCCTAATAAGCAAATCAAATGCTTCCACGTGGTATCATCAGCCCTCTTCCCCGCCTGCTTTTTCTGCCTCTATAGAGAGAGGCCAGTCACCACCTTTCTATTTCAGTCACACTATGGTTCTGTGGGAACTGTCATTTTCCTTTACTGCGGTTTCCAAGGCCCTAAAATAACCTTCTCATTAGCTTCACTCAAGTTCATTGTTAACATAAATAGGACAAAATAGGCAGCCGTGCACAGAGCACTTTACAGGAACATTATCAATGCTGCTCACCTACATTCTGAACTGAAATATTCAAAAGAGGGTACAAAAATTCCTTAGTTTTTCATATTATCAAAAATATGCTGTGGATAATTGTAAACTTCCCAGAAATGAATTTTAAACCGATTGATAACTGCTCATTCAGTTTAGGCTTGACTGTCTCTGTCATATCCAGGTGGCCACTTGCAGAAGCTTGAGTGATGTGGAAAATATGCCTGTGCAGCTGCTGGCAAAGCTGCAGTTACACTTCCTCAGAAGCAGTGTGACAGAGCTCCTGCACAGGAACGCCATGCTGGCTGATCTGCAGGCCGGACTGCCACTGGTATGCACCCTCAACTCCAACCCCAACCGCTCCCTGGCCGTGGTCCACCCTGGGGCTGCAAGGTTGGAGCTCATAAAAATAGAAAGGTTCCATTGTGGGTCAGGTGCTCCTCTTTCCGGTCCACCCTCCAGGACGCATCCATGCTCTGGATGAGCAGGGAGAACCAGCTGTGAGAAACTGCAAACAATCCAGAGGATAAGAAAGCTCTCACTGTCCCCTCTGCCCGATGAGATGATGGCTGCCTCATTAGCTCAGTTTCCCCAGCTACCTTTGCTTCAAACTTCAGTCTTAACTGTAGACTCAAGACCAACAGTTAACTATCTATCAGTGGGATTAGGGATTTCATTATGTGTGGGTTACACAGAGTAATGCAAACAGCTCTCCCCAGGAATTTCAGGACAGCTGATCGATCTAGAAACAAATTCTATCTCAGAGGTTGGAAAACTTCCTCTGTAAAGCGCAAGGTAGTAAATGTTTAGGGTTTGTAGGCCTCATATAGTCTCTGCAGCAACTACTCAACTCTGTAGTTAGAGCTCAAAAGCACTCACAGACAATATGTCAACAAATCAGGGTTCCAATAAAATTTTATTTATTAAATCAGGCAGCAGGCTCAATTTGGTTCATAAGCTACAGTTTGCTGTCCCTTGCTCTACCTAATGGTAACAAGGATGTTGCTACAAAGTGACTGAGAAATGATAATCAAAATCAAATTGTTGAGGCAAAATTCATCTGCAGTATTAAAAGCCAGAACAGTGGTTGCTCCTGATGGGGTCAGAGGGAGTGGGGAGCAGTAATGTAATGGGGAAGGGGCTTCAGGAAGCTTCTGGGTTCCTGTGATACTGTTTGTTGATGTAGGTACTGTTTACATATGTGTATCCACTTTGTGAAAATTCATTTGTGAGTTATATAAGCTTTTGTGTCTACTTAGTACTATTTAGTACTTCAGTAAATTACTTTTTTAAAGGAAAAAAAATCAACATGTTCTAAAGGAGAAAGCATTTTAAGTAAAACAAATAGGAAAAATCCTACATACAGGGCGTAGGAGTTGGACAAAGGGTTCCCAGCTCTGGTGAAAACATGGCTCAAATTTCGTTTTAAAGTGTAGTCTTTTTAAATTATGGTTAAAAAATACACAATATAAAATTTAACATCGTAACCATGTTTAATTGTACAGTTCAATAAAATGACTTCACACTGTTGTGAAACAGATCTCCAGAGGGTTTTCATCTCATCAACTATAACTTTGTATTCCGTTAACTCTCCTTGCCCCTCTCCCTTGCCCTTGACAACCACCATTGTACTTTTTGTTTCTATGAATTTGACTACATTAGATATCTCCTAAGTAAAGTCATGGAGTATTTGCCTTTTTGTGACTAGCTTATTTCACTTAACAAAATGTCTTCAAGGTTCCTCTGGTTTTGCTTTTATGTTCCACTTTTTTTCTTATCTATTCATCCAATAATGGGTTTTGGGTTGCTTCCATCTTTGGGTACAAACACCTCTTTGAAACCCTGTTTTCAATTCTCTTGAATATTAACCAGCGGTAGGATTACTGGATCACTCAGTCATTCTATTTTTGACCTCCATTCTGTTTTTCATACTGGCTGTACCATTTGATAATCCCACCAAAGCACACAAGAATTTCAAGTTCTCCACATTTTCACCAACATTAACATTATATATATATATATATATGTATATATATTTGATAGTAGCATAGGCCAATTCTTAAAACATAATTTATGGTGGTTGGCAAGGCCTTTCCTAAATTAAATTATAAATACAAAGGCTTCCAAACCTTATTGAAATTCTGTTTATCCTAAAAGACCAACAGCATTTTAATACAACTTTTACTTGCTTCACTCAAAGTTCCTAGCAAGTGAAAAAGTACAACAGCAAACTAAAAGCATCATAGCAAGAGAAAAATTTAAAGTTGTTTTCATGTCTAGTTTGAAATGAAACTCATATGTGTACTAGAGGGTCTTCAAAAAGTTCATAGGAAATGAGTATTATGAAAGAACCATGTATGGATTTAAAGTTATCTTTAAGTTCCATTTTCCATGAACTACCCTCACATCTCCCAGAAAAACTAGTAATATGATTACCAAAATACCAATTATGGGACAAATACATAATTTATTTCATTACCCATTACATCGGAAGAAACGAGAAGGCTACCAGATGGAACAAGTGAATCAGCATGGGCAGAAGCTGGAACTCACATCTACGGACCCAAGGAAGAGGGAAAGCAAGCAGGCTGTGAAATGAACCACTGAAAGTTCAAACAGAAAAGCCTGGCTGCAGGGCTACCTTGTTCTTCTACCAGGACTCGCACTGCTGAGTTGTCCTCTACTCTTTTTCTGGCTGCTGCTTCTTCTTCTTTAGACCATTGCATGTGATCCCTATTTTTTAAAAAAATAAAAAACACTGTAGAACATGCTTTAAAATTGAACAAGGTGGAAAAAAGGTAAGGAGGGACTGCATCTTTCATTGTAAATTAGTCAAGCAGGATGATACACACTAATTCTGTGTCAAATGAATACCCGTTGTGTCCGATGTTCCTGCTGATAGTGCTGGAGCTCCTACGGTTCTCCTGTTCAAATCCACTTGTGTCGCAAGCCTCACAGCCACTTCTGGGAGATGGCTGCTGAAGAAACACCCTGACCATTGTGGTGCATGATCATTTGAGTGCTGGTATGGTTTGCTGTTTTTCACTCTAAGGCTAAATTTATTTGCATTTTTCTTAATTTATGAACAAAAATCCATCCTTAATTTATGAACAAAATCCTCCTTCTTTTTTTTTTTTAATGAGAAAGAGAGAGAAAAATAAAGAGAGAGGGAGAGAGAATACTCCCATTTGCTGGTTCACTCCCTAAATGCCTACAACTACTGGGATTGGCCAGGTAAAAGCCAGATACTCAATCCAGGTCTCCCATGTGGGTGACAGGAGCCTGATTATTTGAGCCATCATCATTATCTCCTAGGAGCCACATTAGCAGGACATTGGAGTCAGGAGTTAGCCTGGGTATTGAACCTAGGTACTTGAGTATGAAATGCCAGTGTCTTAACCAACAGGCTAAATGCCTGCCCCTTGGCATTATTTGTTTAATGCTGTTTTTATAACACTTGTATTCATTCTCTGCTGCCAGAGATGCAAGTTTTAAAATATTCTATCCTTACCCTACAATGTTAAAGTACTTTTATATTTATTTTTCTTATTAGCTATCTTAATTTCTAAAAAATTTGATTTATTTACATTCTAGTGACAGAATACTTCATATATCATGTAAAAAGACCACATTTTACAGATCTAGTACATTCTCTAAGTATTTTTAGGTTCACAACTTATTCTTCTTATTTGAGGAGATACTATTTTCCATTGCAAAAATATCTTTCTTGGAATAGAAGCAGCCTCTGTATACAGAAAAAAAATAAAAGATGATTTTGTTCAAACTATGCATTTCTTCTCTTTACCAGGTAAGACTATAAGCAAGTGGAGCAATTCCTTGAAATAAACCATTTTCCTAAAGAAACAAAAAAATCAGATACCCTACAATCAAGTTCCATAAACTATTGATAATTGTAAGAAAAACTCTTAATATTAGTATTATAATACACTTGCAGTTATTTGACTGATGAGAAAGGGTAAATTATAAAAAATTCCTAGAGGTGACTGACAAACATTTAGTGAGCTGTAAATATTGTAATTACTGTAATGACACTCATAATTACTGCCATTTATTATTTATTATGTTAGGCATTGTGCTAATAAGCGTATTACACACATAATATGTCTTATTTAATTTTTTCAAAAGCCCTTTTTGAGAGATTTTGCATATTTTGCATATGAGATAGAAATTTAGTAACTGCCTCAAGGTCACAGAAACCAGGACATGGAAAAACCAGAATTCAAACTCAGGTTTGTGTCATTTCAAAGTCCATCTTCTCAACAGTTAGTCTGGTAATGTCTCCCAAGGCAGTGGATGATACTGAGAGATGTAGGACTTAATCCTTGCCTGTCATGGGTATATTCTCCTAATGCTGGCAGCAACATGGAATGACAATGATAACACGATGAAGCACATATGGTTAACATCTGAGGCGTAGGGATGAAGCCAATAATGGTGGCTGGGGCAAACAGGAAGGAATAAGAGAAAGGTGGGTTTGGGCTCAGGTTGGAGGGAACACTGACAGGGCAATACTTGTGTCATTAAAAGCCGGCAATCTGGACACCATTTACAGGAAACAATGAAAAAAATCCATTTTGATTGGTTCTCTTGTGTAACTTCAGAGAAAGTTGGAGCTAGGTGAGGGTTGGATTTCCAAGGGTCTTAACTGTGGGGCTGAGGATTCAAGTACTGTGCAGGACACAACGCTGGGGATGAGACTCAAGCAAGATCAATTACACTGCTGCAGTGGCCAGGAGTAATGAGTCCCAGCACTAAAGTGGGGGCAATGGGAAGCAGAGCGGAAGAGAGTGGTGGGGGAGATGCCGAAAAAGTTGTAGTTGTAGCCTGGGGAAGATGTTGGAGGAAGAGAAGCGTACGGGTCAGGATGTTCCAATGTCTTCACACTAAGTAGAAAAGGGGGGACAACAATGACAGGAGGATGAGTTGCTTTAGGTGGAATGATGATAAACTTGGTACTATTTTAAATCATGTTTATACAATCAAACATGAGAAGGTACATTCCAGTGACTGGGCTATAAATACAATGAAAGGTGAGATACCGTTTTCTTTTTAAAAGGACTAAAACAGATATACTGAAGACTCCCAGAAATCAACTGAGAATGTAAAAGTCAGAGTTTCAGGGGCTGCATTGTGGTGTAGCATGTAAAGCCTCTGCCTGCAATGCTGGCATCCCACATGGGCACCATTTTGTGTCCCAGATGCTCCATTTCCAATCCAGCTCCCTGCTAATGGCCTTGGAAAAGCAGCAGAAGATAGCCTAACTGCTTGGGCCCTTGCACCCACGTGAAAGAGTCAACAGAAGCTCCTGGTTCCTGGCTTCAGCTTGGCCCAGCCCCAGCCATTGCAGCCATCTGGGGAACTCTCTCTCTCTTTGCCCTCACCACTCCCCCATAATTCTGACTTTCAAATAAATAAATCTTTTTTATTAAAAAAAAATCAGAGTTTCACAGATGAAATTTTAGCCATCAATACCTAAATAAAATCTACTCATGTATAACCCGAATAATCATTTAGTAGCTTTGTCACTTGCTTTAATGAATGAGATTAGAATACATTTTTGTTTACCTTGTTTTATGCAAACAATGACAGAAAAATTTAAGCTAGTAACTCTACTTTATATTTTGTATATGTAAATATATATATATTTTGACAGGCAGAGTGGACAGTGAGAGAGACAGAGAAAGGTCTTCCTTTACTGTTGGTTCACCCTCCAATGGCCGCTGCGGCCGGTGCGCTGCAGCCGGCGTAAAGCGCTGATCCGAAGCCAGGAGCCAGGTGCTTCTCCTGGTCTCCCATGCGGGTGCAGGGCCCAAGCACTTGGGCCATCCTCCACTGCACTCCCAGGCCACAGCAGAGAGCTGGACTGGAAGAGGGAAAACCGGGACAGAATCCAGTGCCCCGACCAGGACTAGAACCGCAGGCGGAGGATTAGCCTACTGAGCCGTGGCGCCAGCCTGTAAATATATTTTTAAAAACCATTATACGACAATGATGACATTAAGGGCAGTGAGTCATTTATTGAAAAAATAGTATTCCTAAGTCAGGGGAAGACGTACAACATGTAGAAAAGAAAACAGAACTACTCATTTCCTTGTAAAGAACCAAGTGTGAGATAATGACAGTATATGTGATCTGCAGTTTTAAGCATTTGTCTTAAACTGTTGGCTTTAATTTGCTATTTCTTAAGTATTTCATAGATTTAGCTACTTCTTAAATTGCTCTAACTTCTGGTACTCTTCTTTATGTTGCTTCATTTTCTTAACTGCTAAGTGAATATTATACCCTAAGCTCCTGCAGAACAGATTTTCCCACTGCACGGTTACAGAATCCCTACAGAAACCTATAAAATGTTCCTACTGTATTTATGGGGACTTCCTCCATACCTGCTGCTTTATAGCAGTTCTTTATTTTAGAAGAATCTGACTCACATACACCAAAACCACTGCACCCGTGTGGGATACATGGAAGAAGCTCCTGGCTCCTGGCTTCAGAATGGTCCAGCTCCAGCCATGGTGGCTATTTGGAGAGTGAACCAGTGGATGGAAGATCTCACTCTCTGTCTCTCCCTTTCTTTCTCTTTCAAATGAATAAAAAAATACTGAAAACTTTTCATGAGAATTTAAATTTGAGGAAAAAAACTCAAAAATAAAATGTAGGCATTTTGAAAAAGTCAAATTTTCACAGTAGAAAGTCATAATTTTGTAGTCACTCTCAGTCCTCTGGTCTCAATTCATATATATATATATATGTATATATATATATCCTATTATTTCTTTTAAAAATGTATTTATTTGTTTATTTGAAAGCCAGAGTTACAGAGAGGGAGAGAGGGAGACAAGATATTCCATCCACTGGTTCACTCTCCCAGATGGCCAAAATGGTCCGGCTGGGCCAGGCCAAAGTCAGGAGCCTAGAATTCCATCCAGGTCTACCACATGGGTGGCAGGGGCCCAAGCACTTGAGCCATCTTCTTCTGCCTTTCCAGGTGAAATAGCAGGGAGCTAGATGGGAAATGGAGCAGCCAGGACTTGAACAGGTGCTCATATGAGAAGCCCTCATCGCAGGAGGTAGCTTAACCCAATTTGCCACAACACTGGCTCCCCATATCCTACTATTTCTATAGCTGTCGTACAATTGTATGATGAGTCCTTGTTTTAGCTTGGAGTTGATGGCAATATTAGTCTAAATAATTGAACATTTGATTAGGTTTGAAAAGTTAAAACACACACACCAATTGTTTAGCTTGGTTATTAATGTTTTTGAGGATCCTATTTATAGAAAATTCTGTTGACTGTGATGCTGCTTCCTGTTACAATTTTTAATAGTCACATATAGACCAAAGTACCCAGTACAAACTACATGGATAGAATGCTTCCCTGTCTTTGTCATTTACAGTGTATATAAAAGCCTGACTGTGGAACATAATTTAAAGACAAAATTAACTAGCTGACCAAGGAATGAAAATATCAAATATTTACTCTTAGGTTAAAGGATGAAATAGTTTGTCAGTTTCAAACTAAAACTATTTCAATAATGCTTCATTCTATAACAAAGTCATATTTCTTACATACTTTACACATAAACATTATTCTATATAGCTATAAAATCTTCACCATAATTATGACTTAGAACTGCTTACAGGGTTTGTGATTTTAACCATTCCAAAGGACCTGCTAAAGGACTTACTCTCCTGCCAGACATTGCTATAAAAC